TGAGATCGAGCTGAGCTTTGTTCGGATTTGTTGATGGCGGGTGAGAAAATCGGAAATTAGGGTTCTTAATGAGAATCGGATTTTAGGGTTTTAGCGTAGGGATTTAGAAACAATCGTGCTGATAACGTGTTGTGAATAGAGAGAAAGAGAATGGGAAAATTCGTATCTTCTTTCATTAATCAAGTATCCTTTATATAAGGATCAATACATGTGATAAAAGGAAGTTTCCTTTTCCTAAAGAGAAAAAGAAATTACCCTATGACTAAGTATAGATGGGCCGGACCGGACTATACTGGACCAGAACTGGTTATGACAATCCACTATGATTTATAACAAATATTAAGATCCTAAATATAGTTGTGTCTCTTATGTTGAGAGTCTCGACAAATTTTTGCTTGGAATCTGTATTTTTTTTTTCCAGGCTTCTCTTGGTGATGAAAGTTGTCTCTTATGTTGAGAGTTTTGACAAATTTTTCCCTTTTAATCGGTATATTTTTTTTTCCAGGCTTCTCTTGGTGATGAAAACTAGTTGTGTCTCTTATGTTGAGAGTTTAGAAAATTTTCTGTGCTTTGAATCTGTATATATATTTTTCGAGGCTTCTCTTGTTGATGAAAATAGTCTCTTATGTTGAGAGTTTCGACAATTTTTTTGCTTGGAATCTGTGTCTCTTATGTTGAGAGATCTCTTGTTGATAACAGTACTAGTTGTGTCTCTTATGTTGAGAGTTTTGACAATTTTTTGCTTGGAACCTGTATTTTGTTTTTCTAGACTTCTCTTGGTGATGAAAGTACTTGTTGTGTCTCTTATGTTGAGAGTTTTGACAATTTTTTGCTTGGAATCTGTATTTTTTTTTTTTTCCCAGACTTCTCTTGGTGATAAAAGTACTAGTTGTGTCTCTTATATTGAGAGTTTTGACAAATTTTTCCTTCGAATCTGTATATATTTTTTCAGGCTTCTCTTGGTGATGAAAGTACTAGAACTATCTCTTTCCTTAAGGTATGCACCTTTTACTGAAAAGAAATAGATGTTGTTGAGGTTTTGTAAACATACACTTTATATAACGTTTGTGCTTATGGTTAATGACTCTTTGAAAATCTAGTTTTTTTCTTGGATGACTTGATGGTTGGCGAAACAAAGAACAAGGAAGGATTACTCAGGCAGTTTCACCTATCATGTTTATCGAATATATGAATTAGTTATACGTCTTGACATAATCTTAGGCTGTGTTTGGTAATTGCTTCTTCTCTTTGTGATGCAGAGCTGAATGGATAAGCATAGGTAACCGAACTGAGAAGGTGATTTTTCATTTCTCCATACTCTATGCCTTTTCATATTATGCTGCGGCTACAAATTTTAGTTGCTTGAATCTTTGACAGGGAGTTGGAAAATCTAAATGGCCATGCATATTGATGAGGACATCGAARTCAGCTCAACTGAATCTGAGGAAGAGATCATGAACAAGATCAGGCACGAGAAAACTAAGAGAGGAGTTCAACAAGTCTCTAGAGAATCTCATCACACTCATAGAGCATGAAGAACTTCAAGAAAATGAGATTAGCAAGGAAATACAAGAAGATATTCAAGAGCAACTCAAGAATACAACTCTTCTTACGCATGTTCTTCAAGGAATTAAGGAAACCGCTTTGTTCACCATTTCAAGAGTAGATCAAGCTATTTAAAGTAAGTCCAAAAACTCTCATGGTACATATTTGAATTTCTTTGAATAATTAACGTGTTTCTTTTTCTATTTTGCAGAAATAAGACCGTTAGAGATTATTTATGTCTTTTAATTTTGAGTCTATTGCTTTGCACGTTTAGTCTTTTTATTATGTAATATTTTCGACCCTAGAAGGTCCCCAGCTGCTTGGACTCTATATAAAGTCTCTTCTTAGCTTGTAACCTATTAAGTTTTATGAAATAAAAATGAGAGTTTTCTTCTGAGAAAGAAGCAGCCGCCTCTACTCTTCTTGTGTGTGATTCCTTGAAGATTGAGTGCTCAGACTTATAACAGATCTTCTATCATCTGTGTGGCGTCTATCAATCCATCCTACTACCCATTCCCTTCATTCGATTCTTCAAAGAGAGCCTTTCGGCCAGTTGAAGAGTCCCCATCAAATCCACTTCGATTCATCAACCATTCCTTCGGATCTCTAGAGAGTGCCCATTCGACCAGCTATAGATTCACCGTTATGCATCTCATTTTCGGATCCATCTCTTTGGGTTCCTATATCACATATGAGAACGAACAAACAAAGGATCTTGAAGAGGTCAGTGAAGTTTAAAATAATCTGGTTTTAAACATTTTTTGTAAAATTGTTATATACTAATGGTATTTTATATATTTCAGAAGCTGGCAAGTCTTAGGGTAATGATGATGGATACTGAAAAAGAACTTCGGAATGAATACGCAAATAAGAACAAAATAATAAAGGATCTTGAAGAGGTAAGTCACGTTTATAAGTATATATGGTTCTAACCAATTCTGAAAACGTTAAATGAATGATATTCTGTCCATGATGAGATCATCAACCATTAACCAATTCTAAACTAAGTATATGATCTCAATTGTAGTTGTGTTTTAATATCAGGTATATACATATCTTTATATACTATTTCAGGAACTTGCTGCTGCCTTAAAGAAGCATGAGAAGTATATTGAGCTCAACTAAGAAAAAAGAAGAGGTAACTAAGATTTATAGATTTGTTTATTTTGAAGAAGTTAGCAATTAATCTATACCATTTCAGGAGCGGAAAAACTTGTTGGTGAATTAAAATGAAGGAGGAAGACATGCGTCAACAACTAGATGCTAAGCAAAAGATTTTCAATAAAAGAAAAGAGGTTACATATAGATTTAAAAATTTTCTCTAGATGATATTTTATAAAAATGTTTACTTAGAGTTATAAGAGATTTGTCACTATAAACTATTTCAGGAATGGAAGACATTTGCTGCGGATTTACAAAAACAAGTGCTTTCCGAACTACATGCCAAAGACACGACCATCAAAGAAGCTAGAGAGGTTAGAAAGAGTTAAATCCTCTCTACTAAGTCAATGGTTAAAAATTTGCTTATTTCTAGGTGTTCACTCATTGTATATTTGTTTCAGGAGATAAGTAAACTTGTTGAGGCTTTGAGGAAATAGAAGGAACGGGAAGAAATTTTGCGTGGGAAACTAGCTTCCCAAGATGAGGCCATCAAGAAACATGAAGAGGTTAGTAGGATATCTAATCTTTATTTAGACATTTGTTAATTTGATTTTATCTTTAGTTAGGCTTGTTAGCATGAAGTTTCGAGTATGAATTTAAAAATTACATAATCGAATGTTACCTATTTAAGTTTGTTAATGTAACTCTGTCTTCAATTAAGCCATTAAACGTTCGAAATTGGTTAGTAGTAAGTTGTGAATATAGATATATCACGTGAGTGAACGTTACCTATTTTCTTTTTGACGATCTGAATTTGTATTTGCAGACTTTGCTAGAGCCATTAATCAAAAACTCCCTAGTGCAAATGGTGTACAATTTCTTTCCAAAATGCATGCATCCACGCGTAGCTCCTAAAGGAATACTAACCGGAGATGAGTTAGGCACGTTCATGGGAACCTTGGTGACAACCACTGCTTATAATGTCACTTACTCAAACAAAGATTTGTCGGGATTTCTGATATTGTATTACAGTTGCCAACTTAATGGGTTCAATGTTCGGTTAGAAATGCAACAACGTAGTTACCCACATATCTCAGGCAGATGTGAGTATATCTTCATTTTATTTTCATACTTACCAAAACTTGATTAACTGACTCTTGATTGTTTTCATCTTATTTGATGTTGTAGATGAAAAAAGAGAGGATTAAGGGAATACTAAAGATCATTGGAAAATCTGTTATTTGGACCTTTTTGGGAGGATTGGGTCATGTGTTTGTTGGAGGTTTTATTAAAAACTACTGGGTTAGACTTGTTGTTACTGCAGTTTTGTCATTGGCCATGCAGTGTATAACAGCAATGGCGTGGAAGAGGTCATATGAAATACCCACTTGGCAACCTGCGGACTCGACATATTCGGAATTGGCATACCTGCTTGAATTCCTCACATTCTCATGGTTAGTGACTAAGTTGCCTTTACAAAATCCATTATTGCTTTAAATTATCTGAATTGTTGTGTTACGAAGAACTTGTCTCTCTTCATTAGATCTGGCAGAAATTACACACAATCAACGTTCACCCAACGCATCCACCCTCTTAACCCTCTCATCGCCATTTATCATCTCTTTGGTTTTGATACCTTAAAAGATTTGGAAGCGTTTCCTGTATTCACTCTTAAAAATTACAAAGATGCACACATATACATGTGACAATTGAAAAAACTAGAAGGACTAATGTACACAAAGGAGGTAGTGTTCATTCAAAAACATTAATGATTGCTTGCATATATAATTAAGAAAAGTAATAACACCAAAGACGCTAATTCAAGTATTTGAAACCCTAGCTAGCTAACT